ACGCTACTTTTCAACAGTCAAGCCTCTCGAGCTCGACAGATGGACACGCCATGGTTCACACTGTACCTTCTGGTCATGGCCATGGGCAAGTTGATGGAGGAGGATCCGCGCGAGGTTCGAGGACCCCCGGGGGCGTTCTGGTTTGCTGAGGCAATGAGGAGGCTACCGCCGCTCCACAGCATCAGCGAGTACGGCATTGTTGGGCTTGAGATTCTGTGTCTGGCAACGACATATCTGCAGTGGAACGACCGGAAGAATGATGCATACTTTTTCGTAAGTCCCGATTCTTTCATGCTGGATTAGATGAAATACCAACAAGCTATAGGTGGGAACAACAGTTAGACTTGCCCTGACTCTGGGCTGCAACTTGCCATTTTCAGAGCAAAAGTGCCTACCATCAGAGAGAGCACACAGAATGCGGGTGTGGTGGACTGTCTACATGCTGGATCAGTAAGTCAACCACCTTTATCCATCAAGAGTTCCAAGCTAATCAATTATTCCCAACTAGGCGTATTTCGGCGGGCCTCGGGCGCCCAGCTTCCGTTGATGATAGGCACCTTTCGTTCGATCTTCCTGGCCCCTCTCCAGGTTTCGATTCTCCAGAGCCCCTCAATGTAAACGTCAAGATTGCCCGGACAACGGGAGAGATCATGTCATGTAAGTCGACTTTGTAACATGTCTGTTTTGGTTGTCACTCTTGTGGCCCGCAGCTGATCATCGTGATCAATAGCATTATATAGTCGAGGCGCACTATCGCAAGCCGATCTTGTCAGGAAGATGAGAAACTTGCTTCAATCACTACACGACATTGGCGGATCTATCCCGGCAGATCTTGCCATTGACTTTAGCAACAAGCAGTTTGAGGTCACCAGAGCTGGTGCATCACTATATTTGAGGTTATTCCAGGTAAGCACCAACTGCCGTCGCTCAATGGGCAAATCTTTTGGCTTTATCGAGGCAAACGGGTGCTGACACGACCCAAATTAGTCCATCATTCTCTGCATCAGACCAATTCTGCTCCAAAAGGTCAAAGACAAGGTTCAGAAAACACAGAAGCAAGCTGTGACCTCGGCAATCTCTCAACTGTGCCTTCTGTGCAACGAGTCGGCTCTGAGAATTATCCGCATTCTCATGGCCATGCAAAGGCAAGAAGAAATTGGTAAGGGCTTAATTCTCCCGGGGTGGCAAATTTGAAGAATGAATTATTAACAAAAGGAAGCGCCCTTTGCGTTCTTCGATCTGGATGCTGCCTTTTCAGCCGCCTTCGTCCTGATCATGCGCGGCTTCGCACACAAGCAGGACAGTCAAAAGCCGCCACCGCAGGAACTCTTTCAGGCCATTGATTTCTTAGAGTACCTGTCCTCTGCAGGAAACCAGGCGGCAGCGCAGCGTCTTAAGGATGTTCGGCAGTTCTCTGCACACGTGTGGGCCAATGTGGTAGCGTTCGATAAGGACCATGACGTGCAGATGGGAGATTCCGGGGCGTCCCATGGGGTACCCCAGGTGGGGAACACACCCGGAGCCGGACTACCGGAGCAGTCGGGACCTTCACCGGCCCAGATGCCTTTGACTACGCCAACACCTAGCTCGTCTGTGCCGTCTTGGGAGGGAGAAATGTTTGGGGGACCGGCCGATACCTACGGATCAGACACGCTGTTCGGTCTGAACTTGGATGAGAATCTGGAACAAGCCTTTGGGCTGGAAGCGGCGGAGGGTATCTACAATAGTTTCAACGACCCTACTCTCCCCTTAACGGGAGTTGACCAGCTGGATTGGGCTGAGCTGGAAAAGATGATGGCACCAGGAGGGTACGGTTCATAGTCGCTACAAATAATGTTAAATGGAATCGAAACATTATCAATCAACGCAAGTAACTCGGGAATTATCGCTCGCCAGTGACGTATGAACTGCCTCTGCATTGACAGTGTCCGAAGTGTAACTTCTCCGTTCGACCGTGGTGGACGATCTGGGCGAGTGGGGCCAATCGGATGACGGCCAGCTCCGGTTCGGGTGCCGAGCCGAGAATCTTCACCAAATTCCACAATGATTTAGAACACCATCGGAATAGATCCGAGCTTCCAATGATGCGCCATTAACCGTGAGAAGAGTACTTAATATCTAGCGATAGCCTCTTCGAGATCGCGAATGAAGATAGAGCTGTATTGTAAGTTGACATTGAACGCCGAACAGATTTGTATCCAAATATCCATATAGAAAATCCACAATGGTCCAATCAACATTAGACAGCGTCTCCATCCTTGGCGCCGGCAACGAGGCCTCTCGCCGTATCCTCACCAAGGAAGCCGTCAACTTTCTCGCAATTCTGCACCGCAGTTTCGAGCCGACCCGCCAACACCTTCTCAAGCTCCGTCAACAACGTCAAATTGACACAGATAACGGACACCTGCCAGATTTCCTCCCTGAGACTAAGCACGTTCGCGATGATAAGAACTGGAGAGGCGCCCAGCCAGCGCCTGGTTTGGTAGATCGCAGAGTTGAAATTACCGGACCCACGGACAGGAAAATGGTCGTCAACGCTCTCAACTCTGATGTTTGGGCCTACATGGCTGATTTTGAAGGTGAGATGGGAAGCCCCTGAGACCGTCAATTGTGCTTCGACTTACACCGACTAGACTCAAATGGTCCGACATGGGACAACATGATTCAGGGCCAGGCCAATCTCTACGACGCCATTCGCCGGCAAGTCGACTTCAAGCTCGGCGAAAAGGAGTACAAGCTCAGAACTGATCGCACTCTTCCGACATTAATCGCTCGCACGCGTGGATGGCACTTGGACGAGAAGCATTTCACCGTCGACGGACAGCCCATGTCCGGCGCCCTCTTTGATTTCGGACTGTACTTTTTCCACAACGCCAAGGAGTTGATTTCCCGCGGCGCCGGCCCCTATTTCTACCTGCCCAAGATGGAATCGCATCTCGAGGCGAGGTTATGGAACGACGTGTTCAATATGTCGCAGGACTACATCGGTATCTCACGAGGCACCATCCGCGCTACCGTGTTGATCGAGACCATCAGCGCTGTTTTCGAAATGGACGAGGTTCGTATGACTCAATTATTTCAAGCATCAGTCCTCTCACTAACATGCTCTAAGATCATCTACGAGCTCAGAGACCACAGCTCAGGCCTCAACTGCGGCAGATGGGACTACATCTTCACCTTTGTCAAGCGCTTCCGCAACCGCCCCGGCTTCGTTCTCCCCGACCGCTCCGACGTCAGCATGACCGTCCCCTTCATGGACGCCTACGTCAAGCTCCTCATCAGCACATGCCACGCCCGCGGCGTCCACGCAATGGGCGGCATGGCGGCCCTCATTCCGCGCAAGGACGATCCGGCCGCGAACGCCAAGGCCATGGACAGCGTGCGCGCCGATAAGCTGCGCGAGGTCAAGGCCGGGCACGACGGTACCTGGGTCGCGCACCCGGCGCTGGCGTCGATCGCGTCGGAGATTTTCAACGAGCACATGCCTACAGCGAACCAGATCTTCAAGAGGCCCGAGGTGAAGGTCTCGCGGGACGATTTGATCAACTCTGTTGTTCCTGGAAAGATTACCGACGAGGGTGTGAGGAAGAATCTGCATATTACTCTGGCGTACATGGAGGGTTGGCTTCGCGGTGTGGGCTGCAGTGCCATCAACTATCTCATGGTACGTTTCAACTGCTGCTTTCTGCCCCTGTTGGGACATAACTGACCAGACTTGCAGGAGGACGCCGCAACAGCCGAGGTGTCGCGCTCACAACTGTGGTACTGGGTGCACCACGGCGTCAGCACTGCCGAAGGCACCAAACTCGACAAGACAACAATGCTCAACGTCCTCGACGAGGTCACAAAGGAGTTGCTCGAGTCTGCGCCGGCGAACAACAAGTTCGAGCTGGCGGCGAAGTACCTGCGGCCGCAAGTTACGGGCGAGGACTACGCCGACTTCCTTACAACGTGAGTTACTACTGCCTCTGTACGAATGCCGTGCAACGTTGACAGCTCCACTTCTAGACTACTTTATGACGAGATTACTTCTGTTGGGCCGTCATGGAAACTTTAGATCTTTCTCCAGCGATGCTTTTTGTATGAATAATGAAACCGATTCCATGGCATTGCCTTCTGCAATGTAAGCTCCAAATGACTGAAGTATGAGCTTCGGAGCACGTGTGAGCAAAATTAAAGGTTGCTATCACTTCTTCTCGCAAATCCAAGTCAAGTTGATTGCTAGGAATGGCAAAAATCGACTTGGGCCTGATTCGAACAGACGCTCCCGAAGGAACAAGATTTCTAGTCTTGCGCATTAGACCACTCTGCCACCAAGCCGTGATCCCAAATCCGCTGATGCGGGCTGGTTGAGTCGGAAGGCCAGTTTTGCGACCTTGTATCCTGGTCGGCACCGACTGGAGGAGCGGAAAAAGGCCCTTTGAATGTTGCATTGATCGCCACTTTTCACCTCGAACGCCTGAGGTGTGGCTTATTATTATGCTGAATCAATGATCATGAAACTCACACCCGTTCTTAATAGCTTTTCTTTTCCATCCAAAGTAGCTGGATTGGGCCGTCTGAAGTTTGGAACGGCTTCTGTCGTGCATGGATAGCCAAGGTACTCTTGTTCGAGCACTTCGGACACTTTGACTTCTTCAACGGTGCTTCGAGGGAAAAAGAAGGGACTGAAGCCCAAGGTTTGATCATCAATCCATAGGTGATAAGTTTAGAAGAACTCTCGTAAAACATTTGGCTCAATAAGCAGTAGGTATTGTTTAGAAAGGAAGGCGGCCGAGGCAAAAGTACTGAAAGTCAGTAAGTCGAGAAACGCTTCTGAAAGCCCCTGTCAAATCATCACGTGGTAGACCTGTTCAGCTCGCGTAAATGTGGAGACCAAACCCCGTACCGATAGAACTCTCGAAAACCGCGTTGGGCTTAATTCGCGACACTCACTTACCGATTCTCGGTCTTGTGCGACTGTCGACTGGGCTCTTTACGAGCCCTCAATCGATATCAACATGGCCTCCTCTTCATCCCAGTCTTACAGAAAGTTTCAGAAGCTGGAAAGAACCGTCGCTAAAGCGCGTCATCTAGGCTTCGACTACGATTGGGACAATGGCCTCCTGATGTTTGGGGACTATTGGTGCATGGAAGTCGAGCGCCTCCGCGAAATCTTGTCCCCCGACCATCCTGGTTATGATGATGTATGGGATCAGAGAGATTTTGAAGCTGATAAGGCGTGCCTTCGGGACAAGGAGTGGTTTGTCGCGCAGTCACAATACTACGGCCTTCGACTAGGCGATGTGAAGATGAAGACTCTGCGCAATCTGCGCCGTGATTTGGCCGAGTTGGTCAAAATGGGTGCGGTGCGTCGTTCAAATCCTTCGGCAACCGAGAATAGATATCTGACCTGAATACCTTATTCTTAGTGCGACACTCTCAGTAAACCTGTGGCCGCTTTCTACGATGCTTTCAGAAAAATGGAGGACATTCAGAAAAGTCATGATGAGATCTTCGATGAATTCACAGCCATGGAGGACAAAATCGCATTCGATGTTGAAATCTTCGCACAGCGCTACTTCTCCGATCGAACCACCACTCCCGCGCCAATATTACTTCGCAACCTTCCTAGCGATACTAGGCCTCTAATTGACCGCCTCGAAGCGATCGACGGTCTTGTATGTAGAGTGATTGATGTAAACGATTCCACTTACTGGGCCATTCTTGGCTGGGACCATCTAGCTGTCGACGACGCAGTGCGTTCAGCGAGGGAGTCGTTGAGAGAGAAATCCGACAAGGCGATAGCTGACGGCGCTTTCGACATAATCGCGACCGAGATGCAGAAGCATCACAGATACGTCTTCAGAAACCTCACGCCACCAGAAATCGACTACCACGTTGACGGAAAGGAATTTTTAGTTAAACCGGAAGCAACTCAGATGCGACTCGAGGATGCCCTGGGCAACTTCCTCGTGCAGGGCGTCATGATAGAAAAAGAGTATGCATCTGTAGACCCGACGGCTTTTGAACTCAACATCAGACCGTTCTCTTCCCCAGTTGAGGACGATGGCCTATTGGTTGGGGATATGAGGTTTGGCGAATTCGAAGGGACCGCGATCCTCTCTTTCTCCTACGATCGGATGGCGATTGTCCAGTCAAGGCATGTGACGCAGTCAGTGGGGTTCGAAACGGTAGACGGCCTCGATACTATGTGGAAGAGCTTGTCTCTGTTCAAGAATTTTTCCAAAGGCGACACGGGCGAGGTCATTCGGGAGGCTCTCAAAGCCGTGGAAAGACCAAACTACGTTCAGGAGCCAAGGCAGAACTGGCGACTGCCAAAACTGCGCAAGCCAAATCCATGGTTTCCACACAGTGGCGCTCGGCGGCTTTACTTCTGCGCAAAGGGCTGGAATGACGCGGAGGACAGTGTCATGGAGTTCAAGAAAGGAATCCTTGATTTCAACCCGTCTTGCACACGGTTCAAAGGCGTCATCACAATGTTGGAAAACAATGAACTGTTCAGATTGAAAGGCTTCAAGGTGGAAGACTACTCTCCAACGCAGTGGGATGACGTCGAAGGGGGATTCTATGATGACGAGGACATGGATTCGTCGACGACAGAGGAATCGTCTATTTCCGGAGAATCGTCTACATCTGAAGAGCCATCTATACCGGGTGACTCATCTTCAGAGTCTGGGGATATATCTTCAGACGACGGCATGACCTGATGAACCTGCAGGTTTCAAGTTCCAAGGAGGAGATCTAGGTCATGATGCACTTTTCTTTGGTGAATTCATTTCATGGATGTTGGTGTACAATACCCAATTCTGAAGCCTCGGTCAAGACGGGGTTATGTCCTAAAATGGCACTTATGAGGCGTTAAATATGGTCCTCTTCTGACCTGATTGTTGTTTCATCTGGCTCGAGTGTGCAGCCTCATGCTCGGGTTTGTTTATCTCTTCTCGATGTTATTAGTGTGGTACTTAGGCGTCAATCCTAAGCATTCAAGAAGAAGGATATGAAGATTTATGTCGTAGTTTTTCAAGCAGATCCTGTTCATATATGCAATAGGTTAAACTGATCAAAACTTACTAAATACAGATTTCGCATGTCGTTGGGTGATAATATCAACGGCTCGTCCAGTTCATTTATTCCCTTTCCTGGACAGCAAATTTGTCATTCCGACGATTATTGACTTCGTGAGTACATGTAGATTGGACACAACCCTGATGTCTTATTAAGTCAAAAAGCCACGCATTGAAAACCTTAGAAAAACATGTAGCCTAGCTGGTAAAACCTTCCGTTCAAGGACCAGAAGGGTAGCGAGAACCAATACCCATGCCCCTTGCGGCTGGTAGGGATAACAAAAAACCAATCTTTCAACGCCTTTACATTCTGCCTCGAAAATCGCACCGTTGAATGCAGCTAGCATTCAACGTCGTTTCTACCCTACGATACGTGCAGCTGTGCGCGTTCCTGCAATGCTCCATTCATACACGATTTCCAACTAAGCTACTCCCACTCCGCCGCTCCCCTTCAGAAAAATGCGCAACGGAGACTTGAAGAAACCGGCGAAATGCGTCCTTCCCTACCGGAAAGGCGATGAGCATCACGACACATACGAGCTCATGCCCCTTCCAGGTCCGCCTCCAGATCCGAATCATCACAGGTTCGCGGAGGTTCCCATAAAGATCAAGTCCAAACGCGTCAGACTCGTGAGAATACTTCAAAAGAAACCACAATTATACAAACTTGTGCCCATTCCAGATTCGACTTTCCACCAATTCGCGGAGTTGCCCGACAAGATCAAGTCCAGGATTTGGCGCGAGTTTTACTTGGAACCCAGATACTACATCGCAGAGCTTCATCCAAAAGACGATAAGATAGAAGGCAAGGACTACAACTGGGTTCTGGAATCTTGCGATGAGACAACGCCCGGCGAAGAACCTTGCGAAGAGGAAACGGCCGAAGAGGATGCCTCCAAGAAGATGACCCCGGTGGGCAATTCTTCAAAAAGAAGCACTCCGCAATCCGACGCCCTACATACCAATGCTCTCAAGGGGCAACCATATGACGAGTATCTATCCGATGAGTATAGTTCCGAAGAGGAATCTTCAGAGGATGAAGCTGCTGAGAATGGAGAAGCTGAGGATGGAACCGCAGAGAATGGGACGGTCGAGAATGGGGCTATCAGGGATAGAGCCATCGATAATCCATTCGACGAGCTAGAATTCGACCAAGTAGATGATGAGTTAGACAACGTGGAGGGCCGTGGTTCCACTAATTCACTCATCCGGCCATCAAGCAACGGCTCAAACCCATTCGACAAAGAAAACGAGGAAACGGAGAAAGCAACACACCGTACAGTATTTTGGACTCTGTCCAGGCAGGATGCAGAGTACTCGGATGGTTACTACGACTCCGTCGACACCAATATCGATTCTTTGTCGAGATCCGTTGCTCAAAGCGTCAGGTCGCCATTCTGGTTTTCAGCATTCGTCAAGGACGAGCCTGAGGAGGGCGAAGAAGGTCCCTGGATTGCGATCCCTCCACCAAAAGATTTGGCATCAAAAATGGGAGGGAATGTTACCATCAACTGGGACATCGATTTTGTCCACGTCAAGGTGCGCTTCCGCACATGTGTCACAGAAAGCATCGGCTGGATGCAAAACATCCAGAACATCGTCGTCGACACGAAGCCTTTCGTAGCGCGACGCCCGCAGCATGTCACAAACACATGTTTCTGGATGTGGACCAACAAAGCAACACTTTCAAACCTCAAGACTATCCGACAAATCGCCGCCCCAGAGTGCCAAGTTCCCTTCTGGCATTCAGAGTGGTGTCACTACCAGATGAGACACCTTCTCCGTTTCGCGCCTGGAACTCCTCCCCAGTGGCGCGATATTCAGTCCGAACTGGTGTCTGATGAGTTCTGGCTTCCACCGGACAACTTACCACGACAACCCGAGTGGAAGCAATTCGTCCGGGACTTTTTCGGCAAGTTAAGACACGCAATTGGGAGTCGGACCTTCAAGAATTACATGAGGGTCCCCCATCGCTCCGACAAAGATGAGGCAAAAGGCGCACGAGTGCTTTTTGATGTCGTCAAGCGACATCCAAGCCATTTCCACGGCGTACTCTTCCATTCCCCTGATAAATGCGGTCATAAATTCACTGCAGCAGAAATAGTATAGGTTTGGGGCTAGCTTTAGTAATCGGGAGGGGAATGGTGTTTTCAATGAACTTCAATATTTAAGAATGATTTATGGAGAAACCCCGGCTGATCTTGTACCTATACACTTGAAGCACTTGCATCACCCCGAGGAGAATCTCACAGATGCCTTCTTCGCTGGCTCTATAATCAAATTTCTTAGTTGAATTCCAAGATCATCATGTTTGAGTGAAAGGCGTTGTTCCTGGCCCATTCTCAATTCTGTTCGAGATGCTTGAGAACGCTGCTCGAAACTGAGTCCTGCTAAGAGTCTCTGAAATCATGGAGTATCATGCCTGTCTCTCCTGCCTCGTGAAAGTACCAAGTCACGCATCTAATGATATTGCTTCTCGACTGCAAGACTCTGTTCCTTTAGCCGACACCTCGCTCCAGGCAAAATGAGACCAGTCCGGTAACTCATGACTCCAGGTTCTGCTTTGATCCGGCCTTGGCAACCGAATTCAATCAGGAACAATACGAAGTTGTCGATAGAATCCGGCTCTTGGCTGCAACGTGGCAAGTCTATATACCCGATTGAGGTTGAGCGGCACCTATTATGTCCCTCTTCAGAGCTTGTCCCCGCACTTTGTATATTAGAGGCTGCGGCTCATACGACTCTGGCACGCACTGCCGATTCGCTCCCCGCATGTTGCTCACTTACCTCCCTTGAGCCTATTATAAGCTTAAGGAACCACGTAGATAGAGCCAATGGGATAATCGTGGCACTCCTGGCTCGTATGAGACAGTGATGGAACCAAGAAAGGCGATTCGTCCGGAATGGTGCGATTCACGCCCAAGCAGGTTTGGTAGCTCAATATCTCCAGCGGGATTGTATCCGGGACTTCATGTTGTATAGCGTGGATCACTCTCTTGAGATGATGAAGTTTTCACAACGCAACTCAAGTATTGAACTGATAAAATGCCCATCTTTCCCGGTTCTCTGTCTTCTGTCTCCATGCCTATGTCAACCCCCTTCTTGGACATTTCTCTTCCTTCTCAGAGGCTAAAGAATGCCTTCCATCAGAAGCTTCACATTGTACTGCCTGAGCGTTGCCGCGCATCTCTCATCAGCGTGGCCAACCCAGCATCCCGAACATGTCCAAATACTCACCCGAGCGGAGCAGCTCGCCACGGAATACGACTATGTCATTGTCGGTGGTGGCACGTCTGGCCTGACAGTCGGCGATCGACTCACAGAGGACGGCAAATGTGAGTTCCCACCTTGTCATCCACTGCACAAAGCTTCAACCTAATGTGGAGAAGACACCGTTCTCGTAGTCGAATATGGCTACTACGACAGCCAGACTGGCATGAACCCACGTCGCATGTTCAACATCACGTCCAAGCCGTGTCCTAACCTCAACGGCCGAAGCTTCGATGTGGGTATTGGATGCGTCGTCGGTGGAAGCTCTTCCGTCAACGGCCAGGTATTCCTGAGAGGAACCAAAGATGAGTACAATGCCTGGAAAGAACTTGGTGGCCCTGGGTCTACCTGGGACTGGGATAATCTGCTTCCGTACTTCAAGAAGGTTTGAGCTTTCAGACAAGAACATGTACATATACGAGACTGAAAGATCCTAGGGCATCACCCTCGCTCCTCCTGACGCAGCCCAAGCTCGAGAGTACAACATCACCTACGACACCAAGTACTGGGGCACAACGTCAAAGATCTACGCTGCTTTTGGCAAGGGTCCTCTTCAGTCTGTACTCAGTAGGTTCCAATCCATCTGTGCCCCTTCACGGCAGTCATCCAGCTCTGACTATAACCCTCAGAGATCCTTTATAACGCCATGGCAAAGATGCCCGGCATGACCATCCCCGTCGACAGCGGCGCGGGCGAGGCCGGCCTCTACTGGTACCCAATGTCCCAAGACCCCATCCAATTCCAGCGATCCTACGCTCGCACCGGCCACTGGGACGGCCTCAACCGCGCAAATTACGAGATGATCGTCGGTGCCAAGGTCAACCGCATTCTCTTTGACGGTGACACAGCTACAGGAGTGCAATTCGTTTCTCGCAATAACACGGGAGCCGCTCCTGTGCAGATCAAAGCCCGTCGCGAAGTCATCCTGGCCGCCGGCTCCGCACACACGCCGCAGGTGCTCATGCTCAGCGGCATCGGGCCACGCGCACACCTCGAGCAGGCGCGCATCGCTGTCAAGGTTGACTTGCCCGGCGTCGGATCGAACTTCCAGGATCACAGCTATATCCCAAGCATATCCTATCAATGGGGCATTCAGCCACCCAACTCAGGCGGCGGTGGCTGGGGCGGCGGCGGTCCGCCCTCCCTCGCCTCCATGATCGGCCTGCCCGTCGTCAGCCCTGACAGATTCGAGACCCTGGCCAAGGCATTTGAAGCTCAAGACCCCAAATCCCACCTGCCCTCGACCTACACAGCCGAGCAAGTCGAGGGCTACAAGCAGCAGCAGAAAGTCTGGGGCAGGCTCATGCGCTCCAAGAACGTTGTCTTCTCCGAGATGATGATGTACGGTCCCGGTGGCTCCGTGCAGAACCTGCACTGCCTGTCGCGCGGCAACATCCTCCTTAACACGGCGCAGCCCGAGAGCGAAATGGTTGTCGACTACCGCGCCGCAACTAACGCCATCGACTTGGACGTTATGGCGGAGATTATCAAGTTTATGCGGAGGTACATGACTACCGGCGACCTCGCGCAGTATCAGGCGCGCGAGACGTCGCCTGGCACGGGCGTATCGTCCGATGCGCAGCTTGTGACCTGGGCCAAGGGACAGATAATCCCGTCCGTGTATCATCCTGTCGGAACCACTGCCAAGATGCCGCGCGAGTGGGGCGGAGTGCTGGATGAGAATCTGCTGGTATATGGTGTGAAGAAGTTGAGAGTTATTGATGCTTCGATGATGCCTACGACTGTTGGTGCGACCACGTCCATGACTGTTTACGCTGTTGCTGAAAAGGTATGTTCTGATGATTCAGGGTTCATGAAGTACTGCTAACAGGGATGAAAGGCCGCCGATATGATCAAAGCACAGACTCAGTAGTTGATGTTGGCCCTGTGTGGAACTTTGGAAGGCTTCGGTGGAGATACATGTTTGGTTTTGGAGCACATACTGCGATTATCTTACCACATTCGTTGAAGGTTTTTACAAACCACGCAGACGACTCTGACCCGTTGTCGAGGGTCGAATGATGCGCAGCCATTCGATTGAGTAGTCGTGTATTGACTATACTTCTAGTTTCATTCAATATAAAACTTTTCTAGTAACTAAATTTTCCAGCCAAAGGCAATGGAAGCATGAACGTAATGATGATTTGACGGGCGCTGCCATCTCAAGTCCTCACACAGTGACTTCTACTAAAGCTCCTCGGACACTTCTTTCGCTCTCGTCAGCTTACCGAACGATACATGACTGATAGGAAACATACCTCCTTTGGCGCTGTCCTTGCTCTGCGCCTCCTCCCACTCCTTCATCCAAGCCTTGACAAACTCGACCTCCTGAGCCTGAACGTTCTTGATGGACGCAGGCGGGAAATCCGGCGTAACATCCTCCGGCTTCAATCCGTTTTCATCCCAGTGATGAACACCCAAATCAATGAGAAGGAAGGGTTCGCTGGTCGTGGACTTTCGGTTCAAGCCAATTTTGTGGGGCGTGGCAGCTCTCCAAGGATCAGCTTCGCCATCGACGATCGCCACGCGCGGGTAGCTAAAGTTGAAGCCGCCGTGCTTGTTGATGGCGTCCACGTTGGGTGGCTCAGTGATGTTGAACGCTTCGCGGCAGTAGATGGAGCTGTAATCGACGTCGATGAGGCGCGAGATAAGGGGAAGCTCATCGTCGGGCACACCCGATCCAGTCTGGAAGTAACCCCATCTACGAGAACTGTTAGAGGTTGATCAAACTAGCTGACTTTGGAACACTCACTCTGTGCAGACCTGGTAGATCCAGCTGCGGCCAGGACCTTGGCGAATGGAGGTGTTTTGATGTTCTTCACTGTTGCGGCCCGAGAAGCACTTGACCAAGTCTCCGCTTTTGCAGCCCTTTTTGACGTAGTCCTTGACATAACCGACATAGTTGAGCATGCGATTCGTCAGCTTGGCGTCTGAGCCACTGGCGGACAGCAACTCGTCCACCGACGACTTCAAATGACGGGTGCTGCCGAAGAGAACACTGTCTGAGCTGACAGTAGCGCAGTACGTTCCAAAAGCGGTGGTGTCCTGGGCAGGGTCCCAGTTGGTTGACTGCAGTCCCGAAATGCCGTACGACAAGGTGCTGGCGAAATCATCATCTTTAAGAGGGCCCAGACCGAAGAGGTCCTTGAGCTGGCTCTTATCAGAGTCAGACTTTCCAAGCAAGATCTTGTCGACAACCTCAGTAAGCTTCTGGGTGGTCTCGGCGCAGTCACCTGGCGAGAAGAGCCTGGCACCTTCGTAATACTCCCAGTAGTCGATGATAGCTGCCGTGACACCCGACGAGGAGATGCCTCCCCAGAAGACCTCGGGATAGAGCTTTCTCAGGAAGGCCGCAAAGGCTCCAGCGTACGAGCCACCATAAGCAAGGTAGGGCGTGCCAGGCGCGGTAAGGTTCAAGTCCTCGTGACCAGGGAAGCTGATGTGCTTCGCGAAGTAGGCCGTATCGGCGAGGGCCTGATCGGTGCTCAAGAAGCGGAGGTTCTTGGTGCTGAGGTCGGGCACAGGGAAACTCTTGCCATAGTAGCGATGTTCAAGAACGACACCGACGCCACCGGTGGCCTTGGCAAGGATGGAAAGGATACCGTGGTCGAGGAACGGTAGACGCTCCTTGGCGTCCGTCTCTCCGGCCGCGAGGATGATGACAGGGCCTCCCTTGCGGTAGTGCTTCGCATCGAACCAGTAGCGCAGGTCAAAATACTCGTCCGAGTGCGGCTCGTACCGCGAGTCGTTGTGAAAGTGGTCAATAGGAACAGAGAGGTTGTACTCGGGGTACTGCTCCGCAAAAGCAGCCGAGGCAATTTCCACCTGAGACTCTGACTCCGCCCGGGCAGCCGATTGCAGCGCGTTCCAAGCCTCGTGGCCCGCAAGATGCTGCAGACCAAGTCCGGCAGCAACGGCCCGGCCCGCGGCCAGCATAAAGCAAGCTCCGGACTTCCAATTCGTCATGTCGCCGGCGTGTGATGGGGAAACCAATGATGTCCGTCCCGCAGTTGGAGGCGGCGCCGAGTGTTGTTGTGACTAAAGTTGTGGAACCCGGCGTCAGTGATGCGGGGTCACTTGTGTGCGAGCATCGCGCCCGGGCCCATCGTCATTTGGGCTTACCTTATCACCCGTTGCTCTCATCTCATCTCACTCTCACCATCATTCATCTTGAGAGACCACATTGAATGGGTCCACACAAAGATATGATCTCATTATCTTGAAATGTGCAAACTTGCTATTGGTTTGTTAGGGCACAGACAGTAGTGGTGAGCATACCGCCGCAAGACTCATGTTAGACTGTATACGAATAATTGTCCTCGTCCAAGATGACTCCGAGAGAGAAAGACTTTACAAATTCTTGATTTCCGCATTGAGACATAGGGCTACGCTCAACATGCCAGAACGTTTGGTTCAATCTCATTTCAGTCTGCCGGCTGAGTCACCGGCCACAGACCCAGCGTAACATGCCCCGCTCGTAGGCTGTCAGCTCACGAGGGCTTCAATCGAGCCAGCAATGCTGCAGTCCGATGCAAGTATGGAGTTGTCTGACAGAACAGCTTCAAATCCCACTGGATTTGAAGGTTGATAGTGCTTACAGTTCGTTTCAACGGCAACGCGACGCCCTCGGCGTGAGATTTATGCCCTTGGCTTGGATCAGTAGGCCGCCCAGTGGCACCACACCAAGAGTGAAGCTTTGGCATTTGGCCCATAGGGACTGGGTGATGGAGGTTTGCGTGGGCTAGCTATACCCTGAAGAAGCTCCCCATATATAACATCTTCATTTCGTTTTTGATGGCGACCTCACTGGGTCAAGCTAGACCTTAGAGGCCCCATTTTCATTTCCGAAATGGCAGCTCTGGACCTTTCGACGCTGGCCAAAAATACGCTCGACGTCTCTCGCGGCTTCACCTACACTTACTACACCGCGCCCGCTCGCAACTCCAAGCCTACCCTCCTCCTCTTCCACGGCTGGCCTGACACGGCGCGTCTCTGGGCGGGCCTCATCAACAACTACCTCATCCCAAATGGCTACGGCGTCGTGGCACTAGACAACCTCGGCTTCGGTGATACCTCGAAGCCCACCGACCCAGAAGACTACGCATGGCACCGTCTTGCAGCCGACGCTGTCGAGATTCTCGACGCCGAGGGCTTAACCAAAGTCATCTCCCTCGGCCATGACTGGGGCTGCCTCATCGCTCAGCGGCTCTACAACTTTCACCCCGATCGCATCTGCGGTCTCGTCACGTTGAACGTCCCTTACATGCCGCCCACTGGCCACTTTGATCTGGAAACAGTCAACGACATGACGAGAAAAGTATTTGGTGTCGGCATCTTTGAGTACTGGCACTTTTTCCTCGCCGAGGACTCGGTCGACCTCATGAATCAGAACCTCGAGTCTGTATATAGCGTCACGTTCGGCGACCCGCAAACGTGGATCGAGAATTGGTGCTCGCCCGGCAAGATGCGCGTGTTCGTCACCCGAGGTCGCACGCAGCCGACGCTACCATTCGCTACACCAGAGCATAGAGCCGATTTCATGGAGCGTTACGGCAGAGACGGCGGGTTTGCTGCGCCAAGATGCGTCTACACCGTGACGGGCTCCGGGATTCAGGACAAGTCGGAGAGGATGCTGAGCGAGGAGGTGAAGACGGTTCGGGTGCCGGTGCTCTATTGGGGCGGGGAGCAGGACTATGTATGCAGGCCTGAGTTACTTCAGCAGAGCATCGCTGCTGGCGTACTGCCGGATGTCAAGAGTATCACGAGGGAAGGCGGCCATTGGGCTCTTCTTGAGAAGCCAGTTGTGTTTGGAGAGGATGTGTTGGGATGGTTGCACGAGACTTTTGACTCTTGAGTTTGGACGGAGAAAACAGGGATAACCCCGCTGCCAGCACAGAGTTACCTGACATTTCACAGTGAAATCGAAATACAACCACATCAAAAAAGCAAAAGAATGATCACCACGAGTTATGATGAAGGTGATGTGGACGATCAGGGGATTGAACCCTGGGCCTCCCGCAGACACTAGGTGAATGCAAAGCGGGCGCTCTACCACTGAGCTAAACGCCCGGTATTGGGTGCGACATTTGATGCCGCTGTGGGATGCTCACGATGCTCGCAAGCGGGTTTGAGAACCCCGCCAGACACAGCCGCATGCATGTGGGCGGAGACGTAAGCCATGGTATTAGTAAGAGAGAAAGGAGACAATCGCTGATTCCACTTGAACCCCCACAGGTTCCTCTGAAGTTTCTCGAGTGATTAAGAACATGGCAGAGAGTAGAGACAACTACTTGAGAGAGATGCTTTGCTACAAGAGTGATGGTGCCTCCGCTTGAACGTGTCTGAGCAACCCTGTACTTATGGCACTGTTGAAGTACTCTCTTCGGACAGTCCATGGCAACAACTCCGAAGCTGCAAGCTCTGTTCTTTTATCAAATCGGTTTCAAATACTGAAGAGAGGAGAAGAGTCTTTTGATTGCTGAAAAAACAAGTGATGACATCTCACAACTCGAATTGACTTTGGTGTGGGGCGGACCCCGCTCTGGAACTAAAGCCACTTAGGTCTGCTAGCCACTCCAAATTACAACACCGAGCGGAGCATTAGCTCCGATCCTCCCCTTGGTGTAGTTGGTTCATCACGTTCGACTGTAATGGTTACATTGTCATCGAAAGGTCTCTAGTTCGATTCTGGAAGGGGAGAATAACTCTTTTGCTTTTTTGTTTGAGATATCTTCACAGCTGCTTGGTGAATGACATGCGACAAATTTGGTTTTTAAACAATCATGTAAGAAAAAGACGAGTTGTCTAAACGGCAAGTAGGTGATGCTTTCTTCATCGTAGCATCACATAAGCTTTCACGATCTCCCAATACCACCATCAACATCCACTCCCTCGCTCCTTGCCTTCTTGATCGCATCTCTCGCTTCTTGCTGCTCCTTCTTCTTCCTTTTCAATAAGTTAATAATCTGTGACTTGGCTCACGTGTCTCACCACCCATGACTAACGAGGGGCATACTCACTCCTCAATCCCACTCCCAAACTCCTCATTAACAATCTCCTGCCCCGGCACCTTTTGCGTACCACTCTTCCTCTCCACCGCGTCAGCAACCTTGCCCTCCGCAAGCGTCGCCATCTGCTCAGCCTCGACGTTGGGATTCTCCAGCTCTCTGCTGCTGCCGCCCTCAGACACATACGCGGTATTCCGCCGCTCCGTCTCGTCCGCGGGGCCGGAGGAGTGTACGCCCGCGCCCAGCGAACTCGGCGTCGCCTCGTCGACGGAGCGGGACTGGGATTGCGGGAAGGGTGTGCGGCCTAGCGCTGCGTCGCGCGCGGCAGTCTCGCGGTCGGAGGCATCGTGTGCTGCTGCGTTTTCGGCGGGGTTGCGTGTTGTTGGGTTCGAGGGCGCCTTGTACGCTTCTGATGTTTGGGGTTGTGGTGGTGCTGAGGATGACATTTTGGCTTCGGTCTGGGGTGAGTTGATTCTTCGGCCAAGGTAAGATTTACAATACTAGAAGTGCAATGAGTGTCCAAGTAAATCTGAATTTTGTGATTGTAGTTATTCACAGTGAAGTTCAGCGTCGCAAAGTAGTCTTTCGCAAAGAGCTCAAGAGCTTAAGAGCAATGACATCGGTGACAGGTCGATGACGTCGGCGGGCAGTCGTGGATCGACGCTTAGTCTCTCCCCGTCTCCGTCATCGTAAATGTAAACCCGCCTTCGGTGATTAGCTTGTCATCATTTAATGTCATAAAAGGGTTGGTTTCTTCCATGATAAGGCTGCTATCACCGTCGAATTAATGGAATTTGATGACATGCCTGCCCACCCTGGACCGACTGAAATACCCGGCTGTGAGGAACGGTGCCCACGCCCAAGACCGAGCCGATGTAAGACAATACCGGGCGCTACATCAACCTCTATAAGATATCGTGCTTGCGCTACTCAATTTCGAATCATCATTTCAGCTCGATGACGATGTGGTTGCGCAACTGGTGTCATATTTGATAGAGTGCCTGATTAGGCTCAATGAATTCAACGTCCTTTGCAATATGACCTTAGTCCTCCCTCTACCATCCCCTGATCGTCTAAACCCTCCTGTAGTCAAGCCAACCCTTTCTCTCTCACCTGACAAATTCCAAATGAAGCTGCCATAACATCGCGCATGGCACATTATCTTTGGAACAAGCTTCATCTGAAGGTCCTCTTGAACCAAGCCTCGCGATGAATACCACAACGGCTCCGATTTATTCAGCCACAGACAATGCAACCTCCAACTCATCCCATCTCCGCAAACCATGTCGCTCCAAATGTAAACGTCGCCCAGATCCTATTGGTCTACCCCGCCCATCGACACCGAAGCCAAGACAGAAAGCTACCCCAAACGGTAAAGAGAATTGGGTACACCGGACGAGGGGAGGCCAACACACGGCTCCGATTCGGCCTCGACATGTGCCGCCGAGCTCCGGCGACCCGCCATTTGCCCGTTTCTATCGGTGGTCGTCCCGTCTTTGCGCTCGAATCCTGCTGACCCCCGCATGCATACCGTCAACCCAATTAGAGAATCCGAGTTGCATATGGTGTGATGTCGCGCAAACTTTCGCCTTTTCCACGGCCCGCGCGGTGGTGGTGTGGTGATCGATATCGGAAGGGCGTATAAGACATGCCCAAGACCCCTCTTCGACCCCGCGATAGAAAGTGTCAAAGTGTCGAAGTTGTAGTAAACAAACTTCCTTCTTTGAACTGTCGTATTGAGCGTCAGAAGACATTCAGAAATGGCACCATCCGCAACAGAGACAGCTGCCGCCAAGCAGGTCGAGGACCTCAAGGAGAAAGACCCGCCATCGAAGGAACAAGTCAAGGAGGCAGTATACGCAGACGACTTTCCGCCCCTGGATGAGGAGCTGCCAGAAGTACGGACAGGCCACAAGGAACCCCTCAAGACGACGGGGGTTCTCGACCAGTTTGAGCATTTCGAAGTGACGCCCGTCATTGGCCGCGAGTACCCGACTCTCGATCTCAAGGAGCTGCTGCGTGCGCCCAACTCTGATGAACTCCTTCGTGACCTAGCAATCACCAGTGAGCCGGGCCTTCACCGACATACTCGTCTCCAGTACTGACACAAGTACCACAGTCTCGCAGCGCGGTGTCGTATTCTTCCGCAAGCAGGACAACATCGACAACGACCTCCAAAAGGAACTCGTCCAACGTCTCGGTGAGCTATCCGGGAAGCCCTCGACTTCGAAGCTCCACATTCACCCCGTCAACAATGCCGGTCACGGCGACACCAATGATGATGAGATCAGCGTCATCTCGTCGGCGCAGGCCAAGAGGCTGGGCATCCACCGCTTCCTAAACTACACCAAGAAGCAGACGCAGAGGTCACAGTGGCATTCCGATATCACGTTTGAGCCCGTGCCGAGCGACTATGCGCTTCTTCGTCTGACCCAGCTGCCCAAGACGGGAGGAGGTGAGCACTTTGGGGCTTTCGCCGCCAACTTTGGTGTACACTTGTACTGACCAAACATAGACACGCTCTGGGCCTCGGGCTATGAGGTATACGACCGGATATCGAAGCCGCTCCAAAAGTTCTTCGACGGCATGACAGCCACGTACGCCCAACCGGGCTTCAACGCAACCGCAGAGAAGAACGGCTTCAAACTCTACTCCGAACCGCGCGGCGCGCCCGAAAACGTGGGCGAGCTCCTGGAGGCCATTCACCCGGTCATCCGCACGAATCCGGTGACGGGCTGGAAGAGCGTCTTCGCCGTCGGCCTCCACGTCCAAAAGATCAACGGCCTGTCGGACGAGGAGTCGAAGCACTTCCTCGACTGGTTCGTGCAGCTCATCATTGAGAACCACGACCTGCAGGTGCGGCACCGCTGGCAGAACCCCAACGACGTCGCCATCTGGGACAACCGCTCGGCCTACCACGCCGCGACGCCGGACTACATCGTGGATGACCTCGGGGAGAGACAAGGGTCTCGTGCCGTGAGTCTCGGGGAGAGGCCGTACTTTGACCCCCAGAGTCAAAGCAGGCGGGAGGCCCTGCGTGCCGAAGCCATTGCCGCTTTGAAGGCGGATTACAGCTCATGAAGGTTGTTTGTTTCCGGAACCAAACGACCTGTTTCTCTGGATGGTCGTGCTCTTGAGCTTTGATATGAGAACTAAACGACGATGGACTCATTTTCCTACACGGGAAGAGGTTACCGTAGCAGCCAAAACAATGATTTTCCCCCAGAAAAGAGGAAGAAGCGGTTTCACTCTGCCCTATCGTGGCTCGGGAGTTGCTCCCGAGCGTCTTTCAGCTGTGCCTGTATCAAGTAGACTTTATCCCCACTTAGGGGTTGAGGCATACATCAGACGAGGTCGCCAGCAGTGGCCCAGCACGAGACTTCTGATACTGGACCCTCCCGTCGGTTCTCTTTAGAGTTCAGAGCCAATCTCAAGACCGTCGCATCTGCCGGTCAGACATGGCACGGGCGTTGCATCCAGACCCTGAGGATGGTCGGCCAGATGATCTTCCTTCTTCTCTTCTTCTTCTTCTTCTGTGCATAGAAGGGCCTGTTTCCTGTCGACTAGTCAGTCGGCAAAGGCCCCGACGCATAGGCGCTGCTGACTGTCGCAGCCGTCCCGTCCTTCTGCCCTCCGAGCTCAACTCGGCCGGCTGGCTAGGCATCGAATCATTTTGCCGTTCGGCAACGCGTGGATCATACGCAGACCTTGAGTCGAGTGGTTCAGACGGGCGATCTAGGCTTCTTGCGACGTGGGCTTGACGCCAGACGCGCGCGTTTCAACGGGCCTCTGAGGGTCGTTGGTACGTTCCTCGAGTCATCGCTATGGGCATTTCCTCTTTGTCGTTAGATGAGAGATGCCGTTTTGGCATTGGTCCGGCGGCCATGATGAAGCTTTGAGCGGTACTATACGAGGTGGTATTGGCGCCTTGACGTGAGGTATTGTTCTGCTCGGGTCGTTTCTCGTTTCTGCACCATTGTGGAATAGGAAGAGGTCAAAGTCCATATCCCATCGAAGCCGGGCACTTTCTACAGATGGTCACTTGCTCTCGCAACAGTCATCGTGTTGGAGGGGGACGTCGGCTAGCATCAAGCGAATCTATGCTTAGTATACTCCGTTTCCACCCACAAAGTTCTGAGGACGTCGGAGGAAGAGTGGCTGAATGGGCCTGTCTCCTCCTCCACAGCCACGGTTGCTAGGTGGCAGTGATCCCGTGACAGAAGCCAGCAGCACGTAAGCGGTTCATCAATTCCCTGCGGCTGGCGTGTGAGAGATGGTTTGGGACAGATGAGCACCGATCCCCTGGCGGTCCCTCCGTGAGCCAGTCTTAGTCGGCAGAACCGACATGGGTGAGGGTTGTGAGTCGTGACTGTTCACTAGTCTGTCACTAACAGCATTCAATGGCAGCCAACGTTGAGCGAGTTTTACCGAGCACAAAGCCGCGAGAGTTTTGGGGGACATGTTCTAGACGCCTTGGATGGCACCATATCCGGACGCTCACGCACCTCCATTAACTGCATTAGTCTACATGATAGGGAATTAAGCTCGCAGAGACGCGTCGATGAGACGGCGTTGTCTGTGTGGAAGTCGCAATGGCAGGACTCAGCCAAGCGTAGCGGCAACTGTAAATCGTGCAGCTAGCAGCAATAAGGTAAGCCAAGGTGTGAAGCAGAATACGAGGCGGAAAGTTTCAGTGGGCAATCTTCATGTCGCTTGTGCCGTGTGTTACTCTATTCGGAAGCTTATTGAGATGTGGAAATGAGGACCAAAAGAGGAAAGAATGGAAGATGGAAATTGAAGAGCTAAACTGATGGAGAAGAAAGAAATGAAAATTTAACAATTACTTACCTTAGTTGATGTAGCAACTGTGACTTCTGTAAGTGATTATCTGCCCCTTCCACTGCGATTAAAGGTACAAAATACGAATACGGTACGTACAGTGCTTACTAAATCACCACTGAGCTGAGGCCATCGCCGTGTTATTTTTGGCCGGTGGGTTGCCGTAATCCTCCCGAACCGACCTGCAGAGCCCCAGGAAGGGGAGAGAATGCATACAGGTGCAGCCCACCTATCCGTAGGTAGTCCAAAGCAGTGTGAGTGAGCACCCCGCCCGGAGCCTCGTCCGCGTCGGTCGCTTAGCTTCAGGGGCATCGCAGCCAGATGCGTCCCGAGACAGCCCAAAGAAGGGGGGGAGACCCCTGGACGCACAGTGTCTCACCTGTCGCTTGTCTTTTCTTCAGGTAAATTCGGCAGTGTCTCACCTCTGGCTGGCAAGGTCCTCCCTCACCCTTCACCTTGAACTCACTCACTCATCGGGGGCCCCCTCACTCGAGCACTCGTTACTCACTCGCTCGCTCATCTGACCTGGAATCCACTCACTCACTCTCTCACTCATTCACCTCCACCATTCACTGTATTTTCCCGTCCCTTCACCCGATATTGGCACGAACACACACTCTCTCATCGGCACACCATCCACGTCCTCTTGCTTGACCTGTGCCCGTCTCACTGCGGCTCAAAGTCTAATGTATTTCAGGCCTGCCAGACGACCCGAGCGTACCAGTAGAGTCCCAAGACAAGTAGGACAGACAAGATCAACTGAACCGACGACTCTATATACCCTCCTCTTTGATGCCTCCCCCATGTCGGACCCTGTGGATCGCAAGCCGGAGCTGAAACGCTCTCACCACGCAAGGCCATTATCATCCCTAGGCCCATCTCAAAAAATGGTCCGAGAGGCACAGTCTCCTACAGAGAGGCCGCTCCTGGCCGGCCGAGTGGTCTCACACCTGTCCTCCGTAACTTTTCTCTACAGTCTTTACACCTACTGTCCGGCTCGAATACCGTAACTCTGCTGATCCGGTCTTGGCTTCGACCCAAATGCCTGGGAAACTATCTTCACTGTCTTTCCTAGGATGGCCCTCGCCATAGACGACAACAAAGTTGTTGTCGTTGCCGCCCGTCTGACGCGTCCCAACTTCATGGCCCGTCGGTGAGAATATCTAATCTTTCCGGTCTACGAATTAGTCCTTTTGGAATCATTGACGGTGCTTGAGTTTGTCCGCAAATGGGAAGAAAATGAGAAAAAATACCGGTGGTATCCGTGCGATCACCTCGGCACATATACCCGCCCAACGACTCTCGGCGATGCTCATACTCAGTCCTCCAATATGGGAAGGGCGAGAACATCCTTCAGGCCTCCTCATCAGTCACCGCTTCACTCAACGCACCAATCGCTCGCATCAATACAGACTAGTCCAGACTGAAAGATCTGCTGCCCTCATGAATGATCACGGCCCGGACATGACACCACGACCACAAACATGTAACCAAACCGGCACCCATCATTACAGCCCCCTGCCAAACATCCTTGAGAGAAGTGGCCAGTGACCAGTCATCATACGCAAAATCTCCGTACCCTGGTGTGCTCTCTCCACCGTCCGGCGCCTGCAACCACTTCAGCCGCGGTCATATTGGTTCATGGCCCGGCTATCCAAATCCAACCAATGCTTTGTCCCTCCTCCACCCCCGTCCAGCGGGACACTCTCCCGAAAATCTGGGGCTGCCGGCGGCTTCCAAGGCCGCAGAGACCAGAATGCGGCCACCAACGGGGAGTGCTCTCACAGTGAGAAAGAAAGAAAGGACATGGGTTCCTGCGTCTGTCGCCCGTCACAGATTCTGATCCACTCCTCCACCCCTGGTTCATCAACCCCTGGCCCGGTGCGCGGCCACATCGCGGCCACTTCTTGTCTCCCACTCTGTCTGTCTCTCTCTCTCCCCGGCCCCCTTCACTCTCAGTCTGCCTCGTCTCTTCCATGGGGCCTGGTCGAGATCAACAGGGGCTGTTTGGTGTTGGTGGTTGGATGGCCCTGCTGGTATAAGGTCGAGTGACCCGCCATTTCGTCTCCCCCCTTGAGACAATTCGATCGTTTCCTTTGTCGTCTTTTGAATCTCAACATCTCTTCTCGATATCGACATCAGCAATGACGAGCTAGATCTCGCGTTGGTCGACGGGTTATCTCCAAGTGCGAGCCACCGGTGGCGTACGAATCGATATCACAGCAATAATCCAACATCTCACCTCGAAATATCTACGTCTCTCACTCGATCTCTCTCAACTCATACAAACATCTCATCAAACGCCGCTCAGAACCGCTCTTCACCAACCCAACCAACAATGTACTCATAAACAAACACATCTCGCATCAAATCCAGCCCCTACGGCAAACCACTCTTGAACGCAAATATGCCGCCCCGGGTCACCGGCAACCTCCCTTTCCTGGTCGACCGCTCCATCATCCCTTATGTCTCCAACTCAGCCTCTACCTCTGCCTCAGCAGCAGCAGCAGCAGCGACAACAACCGCAGCAGCAAACACCACGATCCCGCCCTGGCTCATCCTCCCGAGACCCGACCCGAACGAGTGGAATGGCGCATCCGTCGTGCCCGTGGCCGTCCTCTCGGCCGTCGTGGCCACCGCTTTTGTTGCCATGCGCTTCTACACCCGCGCCAGGATCCTGCGCTCCGTCAAGTGGGAAGACTGGACCATCCTCGCCTCTCTCATCTTTGCCATCGCTACCAGTGGAGGCATGATCACTCGTAAGTAGAACATGCTGTCAGTAGAGGAACTGAAACTAAGACTAACACCAACAGAACTCAACTTTGGCCTTGGCCAACATCTCTACTACTCCTATCCCTCCTTCGCCGCCTACATCGAAGCAGGCATCTTCACAAACCTATTCTACTCCGTCAGCCTCACCCTGACCAAGATCTCCATCCTCCTCCTCTACATCCGCATCCTCACCTACGACTCCATCCGTCTCCTCGGCAAGATCCTCCTCGGCGTCGTCGTCCTCTCCCACGCCTGGATCATCGCTAGCATCCTCACCACCTGCGTGCCCCTCCACTCCGCCTGGGACTACGACCCTCTCAACCCGCCCGTCTACTGCCATCCCATCTCCGTCTTCTGGGGCAACGCATGCCTCCACCTCGCCACTGACTTTCTCATCTTCCTCCTACCTCTGCCCGTCATCCACACCATGCGTCTCCCCCGCCGGCAGAAGACAGGGTTGTACATCGTCTTCTGCCTCGCGTTCCTTGTCTGCGCAATCTCCATAGTCCGCCTCGTTCGCCTCTTCCACACGGACGAGACGCCCCTCCAAGTAATGGACGTAACCTGGTCCGCCGTCCGCATCGCAAACCTGACCTGCGTCGAGGTCCACGCTGCCATCGTGACAGCCTGCCTCACCACCCTCAAACCCCTACTTTGCCGCCTCTTCCCCCGCTTCATGGCCTCTGCTACCGGCGGCAACACCACCGGCGGCGGTATTATGTATAGCTCCTACAGCGCCTACGCGGCAGCAGCAGCAGACGCTGCCCGCCGCGAGGAGTGGGAAAAGAACTTCTCCCACGGCGACCCGGAGATGCACTATCAGCGTCCCCTAACCATCGGCACCAAATCGAACCGCCCACGCGCGCAGAGGGACACCTTTGCCAGCCTGGACGACCTCAAGTTCTCCCCCTATGAAGAGGCGACAGAGCATGAAGAGCACGTCGACGTGTTGACGACGATGAAGCCGCCGGCGCGGAGCAGCATTCGGGGCGGCAGCCGAGGCAGCCGCGACGAGTTCCGGCTCGCGGAAGTCGATGCCGGCGCGCCGTTGCGGTGGCCGTCCACGCTCGTGAGGAAGTCGAGGCTTCAGCCGCCGCAGGGCGCAAAGACGCGCGGGTCGATGCTGCGGTACGCTCAGACCGTGCGGTCTATGCGCTTCAGCTCGGCTCCCATGCCCGAGAATCGGATTTAATGAATTACATGTATAACAAGGAAATGGCAAGGCGTTCATGGGGGAGTGATGGGGAGGACATTTTGGCAGCGAATACTTTCAGATTCGCCAGCACACAACCACAGCCGACCAAACAACAGAGAGCCACTGAGCTGTTCTGCAGTACCAGTTTAACATGTTTGCAAATGGCGTTGGAACGGCAAAAAGACATGCGTGGGAGGGTATCATGTGTTGTATACCCATTCGGCGCAAAGCGCGGCTGTTCATAGTACTACGAATAATGACATTTTCCCAAAGCCATCAATCCACTTCCCTTGTTTTGTGACGCCTTTCTTCGCCCGCAATCCTCTCATTGACTGACAATCTAAGATTTTCACTTTGAGGGATGTGTAAGTCAATCGTGCACAGTCTTCCGAGACGGGGCTGTATCTTGCTCACCTGCTTTCAAATCAAGCCCCCTTCCTCCACAGTCTCATTGGCATGACGACCTTTTCGTCTGCCTCATTGGATTATCCTTGCCGTCTGCTGGCACAGGATTTGAGCATTTTTGGTCTCCTAACAACCATTTGCTTAGGAGATGAGATCGGCCACGTTCATGGGCATCTCGTCGATCTGGGTAGAGTAGTACACTATCCTCTTAATCAGTATCTCAACACTTGAGGCTCAGAGACAAATACTCACACTCAATGTCGCGCAGAATACGCACATCCTCGCTAGTAACGAAGTTGATGGCAACACCCTTACGTCCAAAGCGACCACTGCGACCGATACGGTGGATGTAGTTCTCACGGTTACTCGGCAGGTCGTAGTTGATGACCAAACTGACTTGCTGCACGTCGATACCACGCGCCCACACGTCGGTAGAGATGAGCACACGGCTGTTACCCTGGCGGAAGTCCTGCATAATGCTGTCGCGCTCCTTTTGCGGCATGTCGCCGTGCATACTGCTGACGGTGAAGTTGGCCTCGCGCATCTTGTCCGTCAACCAGTCGACCTTTCTGCGGGTGTTGCAGAAAATGACGGCCTGGGTGATGGTCAGGGTGTCGTAAAGATCGCAAAGGGTATCAAACTTCCAGTCCTCCTTTTCGACGGCGATGAAGTACTGCTTCAATCCTTCGAGTGTCAACTCGTCACGCTTGACCAGGATACGAACGGGATCGGTCATGAACTTGGTCGTCATGTCGAGGACATCGTACGGGAGGGTAGCGCTGACGACGACGACCTGTGTCGCGGGGGGCAGGTATCGGTAGACGTCGTAGATCTGCTCGCGGAATCCGCGGTTGAGGAGCTCGTCGGCTTCGTCGAGAACGAGCATCTTGATGTGACGTGTACGGAGATGACGGCGACGGATCATATCGGCGACACGGCCAGGGGTGCCGGAGACGATGTGCTGGCCGTAGTCGAGCTTGCGGATATCCTCGCCCACGTTGGTGCCACCGATGCAGGCGTGGCACTGGACGTTCATGTAGTCGCCGAGAGCCATGACGACGGACTGAATTTGGGTCGCAAGTTCGCGGGTCGGGGAGAGGACGAGGGCCTGGGTCTCGCGCACCGCCGTGTCGATAACCTGGAGCATGCTGATCGAGAAGGTGGCCGTCTTACCCGTACCGGACTGGGCCTGGGCGATGGTGTCGCGACCCTTGCAGACCTGGACAATAGCGCGGGACTGCACGGCCGAGGGGGATTCGTAGCCATAAGCGTAGATGCCGCGAAGGAGGTTTTCTGGAGACGGGATGTCAGTATGCGCCGGTTCAATGGCATCGAGTGCAATGATTGAATCGGGCAGCCTTACCCTTGAGAGACATGGACTCAAAGGTCGGGTGGACCGTCACTTCCTTGGAGGTTGAAAACTCCATCCTTTCCTCCGCCTTGCGATCGATTCCGCTTCCTTCCGCCATGATGATGGTTTTAATCCGGTAGTGTGGCGAGTGATGGTGCTGCTTAGACAATGTGTCGCGATGATGTGTGTGGTGGTGGATGATTTGCAGGCGAACGGTGCAAGCAGATCGATGGAAATTTTAGAGGGGCGCGCTGAAGCTTCTACAGCGCGACTGCATGTCAGTGGCCACTGGCTGTACCTAGCGCTGAAAGCCTGTCTTCCGTCCACTGCCACAGCCGGCACGGAAGATCTCATCCGCCGAGACTGTAGAAATCTCAGCCAGCTTTACCACAGGGTAGCCATTGTTTTCACAGTGTGTTGACTGCCTGAGCAGCTTGCCATCGCAAAAAAACCCAAAGCTAACGCGACCTTATTCGGTGGACCGCTCACCAGCAAACGTGCTTCCAGAAAGGCTGCAATCCCGATTTTTATAGAGCCTTGTCTTCTCAGCCTCTACCCTGACCCCGAAAGCGGCTACAGTCCAGCCCAGCTCAGCCCTCTTCCCACCTTGGACATTCACCGCGCGCGACGGCGGCGAACGACGATACAATGGGCGTAATCGAAGAGCAGCGCTACCTCCACGAGGACCTCGAGCGCCTCGAGCAGGGCATCGCAGACCGCATCAGCGAAGAACCAAAACACATCCGCGACCGCCTGAACCGCGACCACGAAATCGGCCAGCTCCTCGACCAGATCCAATCCCAGTCCGTCAAGCTCCTCGATATTTACCGCGACGCTGACGGCTCGCGCAGCCGCGAGATTCAGACCATCGGCACCGGCGACCCCTTTGACGAGTTCTACAGCCAGCTCAAGACGGCGCGCGAGCACCACGCCAAATACCCAAACGAACAGGCCGAGAACTCGGAGGTGCGGTACCGCGTCAAGAAGCCCGACGACGGCGACGTCATGCCCTACATTGTCGACCGCCTGTTTACCGGCGAGGAGGGCTTCGGCCGCTTCTTTGACCTGCACACCTCCCACGAGGCCTACCTCAACCTCCCCAACGTGAAGCGCCTGTCGTACCTGCAGTACCTCGAGGTCTTTGACAACTTCGCGCCCGGATACGGCGGCCTCAAGCGCGGCGACAAGCTGACAGATCAGTACTTCAAATACGTCGGCGAGCTGGCGTCGTACCTCGAGTCCTTTATGCGGCGCACGCGGCCGCTCGAGAATCTCGACAAGGTGTTTCTGGGATTCGACGGCGATTTTGAGGCGGCGTGGGAAAAGGATGAGGTCTCGGGCTGGCAAAAGGAGACGAGTGGCGGCGGCGCGAATGGCACCGCACGGGAGACCAGTTCAGCAGACGCCATCTGGTGTGACGACTGCGAAAAGGAGTTCAAGAACGAAAACGTCTACAAGTCACACATGACGGGCAGGAAGCACATCAAGGCCGCCGAAGCGAGGAAAGCGCGCCGCGAGGAAGAAGGGGAGGAAGAAACTATCGGCAGCAGCACCAACAAGGTATCAGCAACGAGGCTGAAGGAACGGGCCATCGCGGAGCGCGAGTACCGCGTCAAACGCCTCGCGGCAGCAATGAGCACGGAGCGCGGCGACACGCGCGTGAACGTCGAGCGCAGACAGGGCATGACGGAGCGCGAGCGCCAGCAGGAACTGGAAAACATAATGAACCTGTCGTACTCTGCGCCCGGCAGCGGCGTGGCGCACCACAACGGCGGCGGCGCGGACGGCGAAGACGATGACGACGACGGCGAGGACGGCGAGGAGAAGATTTACAACCCGCTCAAGCTGCCGCTCGCGTGGGACGGCAAGCCGATTCCCTTTTGGCTGTACCGTCTGCACGGGCTGGGCGTCGAGTTCCCCTGCGAGATTTGCGGCAACTTTGTCTACATGGGTCGGCGGGCGTTTGACAAGCACTTCAACGAGGCGCGGCACGTTCACGGGTTGCGGTGTCTCGGTATTACGAATACCAGTCTGTTCCGTGATATCACGAGCATCGAGGAGGCGGTGAATCTGTGGGACAAGATCCAGCGGGAGGCCAAGAAGACCAAGGTTGACGAGGGGAGCGTGGTGCAGATGGAGGACGCCGAAGGAAATGTCATGCCTGAGAAGGTGTACTACGATTTGCAGAAACAGGGTCTTTTGTAGATATGGGGTCTCTGGAGAAGGGAGTAAAAGGGGTCAAGGAGATCAGATGGTCTGGCGTGGTGTACAAGTATTCTAAAGGACATGGAGACGCGCTATCCAAGACGCGTTACGGAGATTGTAAAATGTAGAAATCAAAAAGACGCACATCGAGGTTTACTTGGATGAGAAATAATGATATCGCGGCGATGACAGCCATAGAAATGATATCTCGGAGGAACCTCATGAATAACGATTCTTGATGGCGGCCTGAGTCTTGTTTTGGCAAACCCCTCGAGACATGTGCGCAACAAACGTCGATACGTCCAAATATCCCCATATCAGCGGAACTAGAGTCTTGCTTGCTAGAGATGGTTGTATCCATCGACTTGGAACTTGCAGAATCTGCGTATCATGGTATGCTAAATATTATCTTCAGACCTCACGCCGGAAAGCTATCTTACAGGCAATGCTATGCTTGCAGCTTGAAGTGTCCTCCTCAGACTGTCGCAGACCTATCGACTGAGCTGAGTGTCAAGTGATATATGCCAGAGAATCACTGATGAAAGCGGAGGATGTGGGTATGGTTTCAAAGTGAGCCATCTTTGGAGGCCACTGTATGTATGGGTTGTTAGTCTATGTAGTATGGCCCATTCTAAGGCATCTATCTCTTTGTACAGTACCGCCTGGGTGGTTTCTTTTGATCGCTCCGAAAACATTCGCTGTCCCCTAGTTGCCCTGTGTAACTTTTTTGTCTTCCCTTTGCGATCTTTTTTCCATGTTGACCGTGTGACCCAAATCCCCGAGTAATTCCGTTCAGGCGATATCCAAATGCCGCTGCTGAAAATGACAAAAAACCTCGCCTGTAGTATCCAGGTGTCCCAAATACACAAAGGAAATGGAGCTCAATGGCTTCCGCCGCTTTTCATCCTCATTAAGTTCTGTCCTATAATTCTTCCCCTGGTGTGTATAATGCTGGTGTCCGTTTGTCGGTACACAAAAAAACAAATCGCTGTTTATCCCTTGTGAGGATGTCTTTCATTCGTCTCCAATAATCATGAATGGCCGTCGAGGGTCTTGGGATTTAGTCCTCGAAGAGACCAGACATCTCCTCGAGGAGCTGGTCGGCAGTAGGGCGCTCGGCGGCGTCCATGCGCATGATGCGGTTGATGAAGTGAGAAGCGGTGCGGAAGTCGAGAGGCTCAACCTTGCGGCCGACAGTCAGTGCCTTGGCGGCCATGGCCTTGCCGGGACGCGCCCGCTCAAGGTAGGTTTCGGGGATGGCACCGAAGCGTCGAGACTGCTGGCGAAGGACCTCAAAGATGTAGCTGCGGTCGTGGTAGCGAGCGTTGGTAGGGCGGAAGGGGTTGTAGTCGCCGCCGTGGAGAAGAGCAATCATCATGGAGCCAAAGGCCCAGATATCACTGGCAGTTCCCCAGGGAACCTCCATGAGCACTTCAGGGCTGGTCCAAATGGGAGCGCCGATGAGAAAACCCTTGGTGGCGACGTCAGAGTCAACGGAGTAGGAAGCCCCAAGATCACCGATCTGAACGTCGGAGAAGCGAAGATCGGGGTCGGCTTCAGAAGCCGAGGCGTAGTTGACGAGAATGTTGTCTGGCTTGATATCGGTGTGAACGTAGCCATCCTTGTGGAGAGTGGAGAGGCCGCGAAGAACAGCGCGGGCAACGAAGCGGATTTCGCGGTTGGTCAAGGGCTTCTTGATAGTAGCGTTCAAAAGATGGTCGTCCATGTGCTGGAGCACAATCATCGGGGCATCTTGCTGGATCTCGTCGATAACGGGGCGGAGGAAAGGGTTACCCTGGAACTTGCGGAGGACGTTGTGCTCGTTCTGGGCTCCGGAGATACCCTGAACACCCTTGACGATGGACTTGTTGCCCATGGGGTTACTGTTGATGTTGTTAGTATAATGCTTCTCTCTGAACCATGATTGATTGTGGTAAGCTTACGTTGCAATCCAAACACCCTCACGGATCTTCTTCTGGATGGTGTATCGGCTGGCATTGCCGAGCAGGATCTGGCCGATCTCGAGGGACGGGGTCCCGAAGGCGGAAGTGAGACCTCTGGGAATCATTGTGTTGGTGTGTGTATGTGGATTGAGAGAATGGATCTCTGTCCAAGAGTTGCTGCGATAAGATAGTCTTCGGCGGTTTCGCGTCGTCGAAGTTGACTTCTTTATGTGACAGCTTGCAGAGGCTGTCGAAGAAGAACCAGGTCGATAATGGTCATTAGGTGATATATGCCCGATCGAAGGTTGTGGAGAAAGCGTCTAGCACGAGATTCCAGTCATCAGGGTGGAATTCTTGTCTAGACAAAAGCCGGTTGAGGTGTCTAAGATGGGCGTAATCGATGGTCTCGAATCGATGTCGAAGTAGGTTGAGTTGGTTGTCGGAGTGAGAGTGACAGAATCGAAGCAAGCTGAGTCGGAGGAGCAACGCTTCTTTAACGGACAGTCGGGTACTTTCAGGCGGTACCTTGGGATAAAAAGCCAAGACAACCTCCTCAAGGGCAAGCCGCAGACCGCAGGGCAGGGGGCGTGGCGTGGCGTGGGAGAAGTGGGTGGTGTATGATGGAAGTGGTGGGGGCGTGTAGATGCGAGAAGACCGGGACCCCCTCCACTCTGCATACCTAGTGTACACAGTAAGGTGAGGTATCACCACCCCTGGGAAGCAAGCTTATTAGCAGTAATTGGCACTTTTATCTCCGACTCTCTCTCACTGGTAACCTGTGTGCCTGTCACTGTCACACTGTTCCTCTCTCGTTCTCTCTCGTCTTTCTCGGTGTGTGTGTGTGTGGCACTCGGATCACCCAAGTCCCTTCAGCGGCTTTCTCCCAAACCGTTCCAGTGAGTGGAAAGGGAAGCAAAGACGAAAAGAGTCCAGACTTCTGATTGCAGCGGGATGTGCGAGCCGGACTTGGCAGCGAGCAGCAGGGGTGGCAAGGTACGTACTGATATTCGTGTTCACTATTCGAACACAGTATTTTTAAGTAGAAATTCATCTCAGATGGTGTTTGACAAGACGAGACGAGGGACAGTCTCGCAGGAAAATAGAAAAGATACGTCTCTCTATAGTCTTAGTCTTGACTCTTGACTCCTCTCGCTCAGATCGCACACAGACGGACGGACAGGTGAAGGTGCCGGCTGGGCATCGAGGGCATCGAGGGCTGGAAATAGGACTTTAGCAGCTGCCACCATCTCACCACGCTCACCTTACTTCAACTCTTACTATCCGGTAACAAAGCTAGCTATGCGTGCCACGGGTCGAGCGCGGCGGCGGTGAGGCAAATGAGTTCGCTCCAACTATTCCTAGTTTCAACTTTCAGTGAGCCAGGGGGGGAACAGTCACCCGGGTCCAGAATAATCACGGCACCTCCACCCACCATTTCATGGAAGGAAAAAAAGATTTTTCTTAGTGCGACGGCACACTCACCTTATCCGCCTGCCGCCTGCTTCATCCACCCCCACGGGTCGTCTCCTCTCCTAGGGTAAACGTGCATGGTTGAGGGGGGCCGGACTGTGTACACTACGGTACTGAATGCTGGTGGAGGGTGGCCTATCGGTCTGTCGGTCTATCGCCATAGAGCGTGCAGCGGCCGTGGACAGTAGACTGCGGTCTAGATCACTCCTGGTCCTAAGTCGTTCCCTCACGGCGCGTCGACAGCTTCTAGATAGACAAGACCATACCTAGACCCAGCCTGTTCTGTGTGCCCAGCAATCGACAGAGACCAACAGAGACTGGGGGTAGCCCAGGAGGGAAGGTCATCTGCGTGCGGCTTCTGGCAGCAGGTCGAGGACAGGGAATTTTTGGCGTCTCGAACAGCGATGGTGACAGTCCTTCTCCAGTCAGATCCAGTGTGCTCCATGATTGACCTTGGATCCCTTGGCCTAGGGATCGGCAAGGATGGACCGTATTTGGAGGCGCTCCCAAATCCCATTATAGGGGTCCCCTCCTCCGGCCCAGGTACGCGCCCACACCCTCTAGGTTGCGAGTGCTGACTGGCCCCTGCTGGCTTTCTTTGCAATCCACGAGGACACCCTCAGTGACCATCGGTGAGTCCAGGTGGTGAATTGGTTGGCTGGCATGTCGCTGCCACCGAAGGGCCGGATACTTATGTCTGCATCCGTTGCCTGCCCAGGTGGCCTGGTGGTATTCCGGCATGACCAGACGTCTTCGGCGCACACGGAGCTTGGAGAGCATCCGGCCTCTATTGTCACGCAAATGCAGATAATGGCCCGTTCGAAGGGTTGTGTGCTTGTCTGGTGCTTCCTTTGCTGCCGCGTCGTCTCTCAATCAATCGGGTTCGGCTATCAACTGCCACAATGATGTGCTGCGGTGCTGCACACCAACTGCAGGCTGACTGGCTTAACGGTGCGAATAGGTGGGTGATCTGAAGTGTCAGAGAGTGGGTTGTTGACTGATTAACTTCCAAAGTCAGAGATGAGGTGTGGGTAGCAAGCCGCACGCCGCACGCCGCACGCCGTAGCCCGTATTCCACTACCCAAGCCATCCCAACGCCTCCAACGCCGTGGTCGGCAGGCCCAAAGCCGAGAAGCCGCAAGCGTTACGCCAGTCAGTTGAGGAAGCTGTTAGCTTTCTGGCCATGCAGTCGATGGGCTTTTGCCAGGGAAACAAGCTGGCAAGTGTTGTTTGGTGGCTGTTTGTTCGGCTCTCATAGCTTCGAAGCAGTGAGCTTGCTGGCTTGGATGCTTCAATGCTTGGCTGCTGCTGTAGTCTAGCCTCTAGGTACACTCGCGCGTTGTGTCTCGGAAACCCGGTCATGATTCTCGAGGGCACAGTCGAAAACGTGGGGTGAGGGGAATTGTATTGGTGATCCAGCACACTGTGTAACTGTGTATTACTGCTGCTCGCTCCCGAGTCGGAAACAGGCGAACGTGGCAGACCTCATCAGATCAGCGAGAGCAAAGGGACCAGCGTCAACCCACGCGTGCCACGGGCATTGTGTGCCAATCGAAGACGCCAATCCGTGGGCATTCTGTGGGTTCGTGACGGCGGATGCGGATTGAGCGGCGATTGTGTCTCCAGTCGTAGGGCAGGAGGCGAACTGATGTGCGCTGGGAACGACTGAACAGGATACTCCGTACGTAGTTTGTCTCCGTACGGCTCTAGTGCCAGCTCCAGTGCTTCAGTCCGTGTCTCTGGAAGCCTCCATCGGTGCATCCGGTCACATCATTTTCTGGGCCTTTTGCTTTTCGTTGAAGAGGGGGATCTTTGCTCGGGCGTCTGGGGTGCGTACAGTAGCTCATTGACCTCCTCTGGAGCTGCACAACTGCAGCCGACAGTCGCAGGTCGGTCAATCAATTGCTCGATTTCTCTCCTGTCGCACAAGCTGTGTCACTGCACTGACGCAGCTCTTGGTATGACCGAGTGCTGTGCTTGGTACTAATTGGCACAGCCATCGAGGTTCTGATGAATATGGGAATGCCTGAAATCCGCAGTGTACGCATGTGGCTCGGTAATCAACGTAGGATGCGTAACTCTTCGTAATGGCAGATGATCTATGCTCTTGTCAGCATCAGTGAGGTCCCGTGCCCTTGATTCGTCTCAATTCCCATTTCATTCGAACACCTTGGCAATCTGAGTGAAGCATTTGGTCTCTCGAGTGATACTTGGTAGCCACGTAGCTAGGCGTGCCAAGACAGAAGATTGGTGGTTTTGTGAGTAATAACAAGTAAATAGCGGTATGGAGGGGGTTTGCTCGTGTTGAAACCGGCATCGTCAGGCACGCATCCGCTTGGAAGGGTTCTGAGTGCTGAGTGCATGCAGGTGGTTAATTAGACGGAAGCTTGGGAGCTTGGAGGTCCACGATTGCGGTTGCGGAGTGCAGCATTGGTTGAGTTCCGCGGTCGGTGTCGGTGTGTCGTGACCCCAAGCTGGCGGGAAGCTGGGGAAGCTATGCGTGAGGTGGTAAGGTGGTAAGGTAAGGTACGAGGTACATCGTGGAGAGCTTCAACCCCCGAGCTACACAGCTGACGAGGGTGGCATTTTTGTACACATCACGGGACGAAATGTTGCGACATGGGAATCTAACATTGAAAAACATGGGGGAATGTTGGGGCCCTTGGTGGGTGGGGGGTCCGGTAGCCGGGGGAAGACGAGGGACGAAGCCGGGCGACGATGCTTCAGCTGGGGGGGAGGGAAGGCACGAACGGTACGAGACAGGAGGTACCTCCCTTTGAAGGCAGGAGGGCAGGAGGCATCGTCAGGAACAGCAGGCACTCACTGGCCCTGAAGGTAGGAGGCAGGAGCAAAAAGTGCGAAAAAGTGCAGGTGCGAGGTACAAGTGCAGGCAAGCGCAGGTGCAAGTGCAACCGCCAATTGCCAACCGGAAGGAACGACGAGGCGGAAGACTTGGGGTCAGCTTCCCCGGTGTCTTACCCCCTGCTCCCGTCACCGGCTGGCCCTCCACGCCTTCCCATGGAAAGTCCAAGCCTCCCATCCTGGCATCCCCCGACAAGAAAAACAGGACTGAAAAAAAAAAAACAAGGTGAAGATGGTGAGGTGAGGCCCCAAGGTGAGAACAGGTGAGCAGCCACAGCCTTCCCCGTGTCCCAAACAGGACTAGCCTCTCCTCAACTCGCGACCGAACATTTCTATTTTCAATGCAGCCGTCAGCCATTCAATTTGGACACAGATTTGATCCAGATTTCCAAAGTGAATCAATATTGGATCCCAAATTATTGACACTTTCCTTGTACATTGCTTGTTTCCTCCGTGGCCATCTCGATTCCCTTTCCATCTCTTGACTCACCTTCATCTCTCACTCCCTCCCATTCTGTTCCAACTTCCCTGCACCCTCGTGTTACCTACGGTGCTACGGTGCTTCACTGCAACTTCTAACCTGGAGTACCTAACCTGTGGCTGCTGCCGCTACTGCTGCACTCCCACCACCCACGTCAATTCGTCTCACCGTGACCTGCGTCGCATTCTTAACCCCCCCGACCTGGTGCTCTCACCTGACCAGATCCAATTTGTCGGTCCCTGGCCGAATGTCACCCTGACGCCAAAAAAAATTCCGTCTCCCCCCCAAACTTGGGATTTACTTTACTCAAACTCCGCGACCATCCCACGCTCCCACGCCCTCTCCCACGCTCTCAATCAACAGCCTGCAGTAAGCCGAGTCTCCGACCCCTCGGCCGACATCGCTCTCCACGGTCAGCCTCCAAGAATTCAACCAACCTTGGATCCGAATCCAGACCTGGAACGCAACTCGCCTCGCCTCGCACACCGCTCTCTCTCACCTGGCCGCCGCGGCGCCGTCCAGTACCATCGCCCCGCGTGCATTGCCAGCCGCACCCGGGACCACCACAACTGACACCAAAGTTCACCAACAATAGCACAGGCGTTCAAGCATCGCCCAAGCCTGGCCTGGCCTGGCCTGTCACCCATACTCTTCGCTGTTTCTCTCCAGTGTTCACCCTGTGGTCCTGCACCCATCTGGACAAACTCAGTCACAGACCCAACCCCGACCGCCCCGACACACGCTCAAACCCGAGTCCACGTATGCGCCCATCAGCAAAAGACGAGTCTAGACTGCCCGGCGGCCAGCACAAGCACTGAGTCTCGAGTCTGCACCGCTCTCTCTCTCTCGTCCCTCCATCCCAAAACACGTCGCACAACAACATGTCCTGACTTCGTCTACCCTCCCCTGCCGAGTCATGCCCGTCCAGTCCAAGCCCATCCCCGCCCTCTACACGGTGTACATCCTCCGTTCCACCGTACGCCACGCGTCTCTCTACATCGGCTCGACGCCCAACCCCCCGCGCCGTCTGAAGCAGCACAATGGCGAGGCCCGCGGCGGCGCTGCTCGCACTTCCCGCCTAAGCCTACGGCCCTGGGAGATGGTGGGGCTGGTATCCGGCTTCCCGGGCATGGTTGCTGCTCTAAAGTTTGAGTATGATCTCCGTCCCGTTCACGATTCACCTTGACCTTGAGGCTGTTTCCCTCTTATCATGCTTCCAAGCATGCTCTCAAGCAAGGTGCTCTGCTTCAGATGATGTTTCCCCGCTCCTCCTTCCCACCCCCCTAGCTTGCACGTGCTCAGGTTGTCCTGCATGTCTAGATTTTGCATAGTGCACCATTTCGATTCGATTTGATATCACATTCTGTATCAACATCAACTTCTCAACCATACGCTGACAAAAATCAACAGATGGGCGCTGACGAACCCGCATTTGTCTCTGCATATACCCTCCACGTCTCGCATCACCGTCTCAAACGGAGTGAAGAAGAATGGACGTCCCCGCCGACCTCGTGCTAGCCTCTCCTCGATATTGTCCAATCTACAGCTCCTGCTAGGAGTACCGAGCTTCCGTCGGTGGCCGCTTACACTACACTTCTTTGCAAAGGATGTACACAAAGCATGGGTTTCCTCCTCTGCCAAGTCAACCGAGCCTCTGCGAAACACCCTCAACATAGTCACCGACTTCGGCCCCGACCCCGCCGCATCTTCAGACGACGTCGCTTGGGGCATCCATGCCTTGCCTGTGGACTACACGCACATGAAGCCATACGTTGAAAAAGCACAGTCCATCATTGCCTTTGAAAGAGAGGGCAGCTGTGTGGTCTGCAAAGAGGCACTACCTCACGGTCAGGGATTACACGCCGTGTGTCCAAACGAGCCCTGTGAGGCTGTTGGGCATCTTTCATGCTGGAGTCGCCATATGCTCCACCATGAAGAGGATCGAGAAGTGGTCGTCCCTATTCAGGGCCGTTGCCCACAATGTGGGGGCCACATTCAGTGGGTCGATATGATGAAAGAGTTGTCACTACGGGAAAGGGGTGCGAAAGAAGTCGAGGCTCTTTTGAAAGTGAAGAAGAGGCGAACGAAGACCTGATAAGATCCACGTGGGTCTCTCTGTCAAACACGGATCTGCAAGATCCATCTGCGAGATAGCATCCTTTCGGCCCGCAAAGCCTGTTTTTCCCAAATGCTGCGAGTCAGCCTGGGTCTCTACAAATCAGACGGCCAGTGTCGAATTTTTCGCATTGTCGTCATACTAGTGGAGTTCTACATTTGCGGTACTATCGAATTGTTTTCACAGCTCGGCTACTGTCGATTCGGGATGTCGAGAGCATTCCTTGGGGCTCCGAGGGTTGCTCTAGAAGCGATTCTGCCTGCAAATACGTTTGCACAATTTTGCAAGCTCAATGGAAGACTTGGAGGGTTGTACATCTCCGCTGGCTTACAGCTTTCACATTCGCTGCATTCTGGCTAAAGTCCAACGTTCGGGAAACCCACCCTGACAGTGCTGGAACGCACCGTTGAGGTTGGTTCGGGAAAGTCGACCACCCAGACTACGCCCAACGCGATGCACATGGCCGGATGCAAATAGCTTCGGGCGGTGCATGAACGCGGATAATCCAGAATCGTTGCTCGGCATGTTTGGCTCGAGAAAAAGGTCAGACACTGAGCTGGCGCGAGGCTGGTGACGGTCTGGGGATCTGCGACACCGGTAGACTCTGACGCCACCATCTAAGACAGCGCGACCAGCTCCCGAGAGCTGCGGCTGCAAACATGGGCCTGACGGGCAACAAAGGGGTCGGGTAGCTCAGAGTCCTGTTTTCCATGGCATGGCCTAGATTGCCAATCTGGCCCGAGAGCAACCACGCCGAGACCTTAGTAGCTGCGATATTCTCGTTATCCGACTTGGCTCTAGCGGAATAGTTGCAGATGTCTATACCATGAAATTGAAATCGGATTATGTCTTACCTATGAGCTCTTTGCGTGCTTCCGCATTGCATATAGATGTGGTTCGATTGAATGTGATCTACAAGAAACCTGCTCAACCCGTAGCCAGATTATATCTCAGTCTTACTGTTTGTGAGACCACATCGGTCTTGAACCACCATTACAGGTCGAATAACGAGATCAAATTGTCGTGTCCGAGGTCAGTCTTGTAAGTCTACTTTGATGTCTCCGCAGTCTACAGACTTGGTCGATGCTGGTTCTGCACTCCCGCGAAACCGGAACTGTGCGAGTATGCCAGGAATCGTGCTCATTTCAGTAAGAGCTTTGAGGTGGTTTACGCTCTCCCTCATCGACTACATGACTAGCTAGCAATGTTGTGAAGCTCTGAGCGAAACCTCACCGTGTCAAAACTAAAGAGAATGTGCCATTGTTGTCAGTATGTATGCTTGATTTCGTACTACGTGGAGCGAGCGAGCTACAGGGCATGATATTTCTGGTCTGACTAGAGAGAGAGAGAGAGAGAAAGTGAGAATCCAGAGTCGAAAGTCCGACGATACTCAAGTGGTTTCGTACTGAATCATTGCTAGAATACGATGCTCTAGTAGTCATCTCTCCGAGTTGAACCGTGACACCATCTCATCGATAGAAAGAGATATGCATAAGAATTTTGCAATGAGAATGGCTGATCTTGGTGATGTCCCCTGAATCTTTCTGGTTTTCAAGAGAAGAGCCCCTTGGACTCTAGAATAAGGGGTGGGAAATATCTTGAGGGGATGTTGGCCTGACAATAATGATCCCACTTTCGTAGACGTACAGGGTTAATATATGTCCCCCTTACGAAGCAGAAGATCACTGCCTTCGCAGCAAACTAGGCTCCATATGCCCGCTCCACCTCAGAGCTGTAAAGGAACCTCTTGAGGAAAAAGAGAGGTTGTCCACCTAGTCCGCAAACCTCAGGGCCATATCTGGCAGGCATGTCGCTTGGGAGTATAGTGGTGATTCTCGTCTGTGGCTATTGCTTTTTTGAGCTTGGAAAGAGGCTCAAGGTACGGTCAGAAGCAGATGAGGCAGCTCGAAGAGTAAACGTTCGATGGAATAGCAATCCCGACAGTCTCTCCAGAACCGAATCTCGCTCTCCGTTGCAATGGAGCAAATGATGTCTTGAGCGAAGCAGTTTCTTGTAGATATGAGTTGTTCAGTCTCGGACCACAAGCCCAAGGAACGTAAACTGCACAAGAAACACGGCCCAGCTTTCTGAAAGCTTGATATAGACTCAGGCGACTGAGTACAGAGAACATCAATCGTCTCGATATGAGCCAGTAGGTTATTCGTGCCATCGTGTACGATTCCGGACGTGCTGTTAAAACGAGCCACCCTAATTAAATGGACGTAACACCCGTTTTCAAGAGAACCCCGTGAGGATAGGTCCAGATTGTGAGCTTTAAGGTGCAAGCCCACTATGAATTATGGCTCTTCAGGCTATGTGCTGCGGAAGTTGTTGAATGTAGGACGGCATCCGGCCAACCTCACAGGCAACAAGCAATTGTAGATTTGTGTGTATGTGGTTTCCCGTGAGCAATTTCGCTCGAGACGACGAGATTTGACAAATGGCCAATGTCAGGTGTATTTCCAGCATGCTATTCTCCATTCCCAGGCACACCGTCAGCCATCATGATTGACTATATCCCAATATTGCATTGTCTCTTAACTTTGAACTCTAGTTTGCGTATGAAATTCATATTGATATCCAATTGTCCGCTCCAGTTCCAGTAATGATCTGAATCTAAATCCTTGATAAAGGGGCATTGGGCACTGAAAGGGAGAACAAGCAGACTGGTCCGGTATCTTCAGGCAGAGACTTGAATTGTTTGGGTATGCGAAAATCACTGTCAGCCTGATCTTATCGATCTGACCTATGGATAATAGCAATTTCATTCGGATTACGCCTTACTTTGTCTTAGATGCAGAGAAGAGGTGGTTTTATGAGCATAATTATGATGCTCAACCGAGGGAAGTATAATCAGTTTCTTTGAATACTGATGCTTAGCAGTCCTTTCCGACTACCTACCCGCTGGGGGTTTCAAAAGTGGTCCTTGCCACTACTCCATCAATGGACTATGTTGTATATGCATCCTACTGCCCGTATAATGAACTAACTATATATAGATTTTAGAATAGGCCTAAGGGTTAGTATTTTCGTTCAAAATTATGATATTTCTAAATATCTATTCTAGTTCTCTTCTATTCAAGTGTTTAGAGTAATCATGTGAGTATAGAGTGGGTCTATTCTGAATAAGAAAAATAGAGGGAAGAAGGAGTAGTGTTTGCAAGTTTTACTTAGCACATATACTGATGTTGAGTATAGAGTGGGTCTATTCTGAATAAGAAAAATAGAGGGAAGAAGGAGTAGTGTTTGCAAGTTTTACTTAGCACATATACTGATGTGGCTCCTACCTGTTCTGGTAGATACCTATGATGCCTAAGGGCATTAAGGGTACATACTTTTGGAGCACTGTTGAAACCCCCAACCGCATAGGTAGTAGTTACTGATACTCAAGATAGCTTCAGGGGAACTTTCTTTTCTTTCTTGCCCGCGTATGTTATAACTTCTGCATGGTTTCTGTGCGATTTCTAAACAGTGTCGGGAGCAGTATCTCTATAGAATCTTTCTATGATTATATGAGTGGTTAAATAGAATCTATCTAAGAGATAAAGGGCGGGTCTACTGTAGATGTCATCGTCACCTCCAACTTGATATTCACCCGTGATCCACGTTATTTCGTGAAATCATTGGTCATTATTGATGGAGTCGCAGATGAAAGCCTCTCAAATAATCCTCAATAAGTTTGCATGGAAGGTACTAGACAGACAATTGTGGCGGGACTTGTTTGACCATCTTGATAAAATCATGTTGGTGATGTAGAAACAAGATCCAACCTATTCTGTCAAAGCTGCCGAGATCATGGCATCCTCTTCAAAACCAGTCTTTAAGGTCACAGATAAGCGTGCGTAGTGACCGCCATGTCATTCATCCATCTTCTTTCACGTTATCGTCGTGCTCAAGACTCGAGGCTCGCGCAAGTTCGTCATGATTCCTGCTTGCCATCCTCTACTTTCTCAACGAGCCATGATCTAAGATTTGCTTTCTGAGAAAGGTACGCGCTGTGAGCTCGACTTAAACTACATTTTGTGAAGGTATCATTCTGGTGATAATCAGTCGTGATATCAGGAGTTGACGGATGACTAAGCCGTGGTGGTCGTCAAATTTCGTGCAGGTCATCTGAGGAAAGAACAAAGGAGAAAAAAAAAAAACCATCAGAAAATGCTAAAACTGAGTCGCCCGTCCGGCGCCCGCCCCCGCAAGCAGGGATGAACCTCGCCCTTGAACCGATCTGGGACGTAAGGGTGGGTTTCTCCAACGTCATACTGTCGTGATTGGCTCGCTAAGCGATTGATATTGGCGTCCCCCTGTTGAGTCAGCGAGCGATATCAGATGTTGGTTTCTTGTGCATGGGAAAAGAGTGGGCGTGCAGCAAAGTCTCGTGGTCCGTGGCACTGTATCCTTTTGCCTCAGACCCAGGCAAGCCAGGCATTCACCTTAGCCAGGGCATGCCATCCTGGAAGGGCAGAGTTTAGGCGTTTAGGCGCAACACTGAAATGCAGCAGTGGCAGAGTTGTCACAGTTCGGGCAATTGGAGACAAAATGGTGCAAATTCGGCAAAGCAAAATGGCTTTTCGAGGAATCCCAAAGTACAGAACTCCGTACTGCCAAGTGTAGCCTCGAAATGCCATCTGAATCACGTAAGGCTCGGATGCCGAAATCACAGCGCCGGCGATGCATCAACGCCTCGCATCCATCCTTCTGGTCTAGATGACAATGCGCCAATCACTGGAGACATGACGGACGGCGATTGAGGGATGGCACTGTAACGAATGTTCGGTCGATGATCGAGAGCAATTCCAGGCTTTCCACCTAGCCCTGGGCGATGCGGAGTTTTTGCGGCCGTGCACTCCAAACCAAACGATTCATGGGCCGGCATTTGCGACGCCTTCGGGTGCTGCTGCCATTAATTATGTGCGAGCGCGCGCGAGTGTGTGTGTGTCTGATGTCGCATGTCGACCGACTTGGATGTCAGGATTGGGGGCCATGTACCAGTGTACCTGAGGACGGTTGGACCACAATGTACCTCGGACTAAAGACCGTAAAATGACACCAGGGCAAGTGCACCTTACTCTCTCCCACCCGCCATCAAAGGGAAGCAGGAGGCTTAGCCGGGGAACTAATGGATCGCTCCCTTTGAAGGATAAAGTCATATTGGCCGATAAGTAATGCCAGCCGAGCATCCAGATCGACAGAGACGTTTGGTTTGATCTTGGTTGACTGTTACCAGCATGGTCCTGGTATGGATTCGAGGGGTCGTCAGGAACAGACGATGATATTGGTAGGCAGACAGGCTTCTGTGGTTGGGCCAGGATGCTTGTCAGCTGAGGCTTCTGTTGGTGAGGGAGGGAGAGCGACTCCGTGGACGTCATGGAAGAGGCACCCGAGGAAGTACCGTGTACTTCCAGTGGGTGGCCGACGTCCAGTTCGGACCCACTTGTAGTGGGATTTTGCACCGACAGACGTGAGCTGTCCCTTCCGTTCCGCCCTTGGTTGTCCTCGCACCTGCCGTTCGACGGTCGTTCTTCTTCCTCAAGTTGAGGTACCTTGGCAGGACCCGTGGAACTTCCGTCCCCGTCGGTGCCTGCCTGTCGCACCCTCTGCGCTTTCCTTTCTTACCTAGCTCTCACCACATATATTTTCCTCCATTTCTACTGTTTGTTTTAGACTTTTGCAGAGGTATCTTATTCAGGAGAAAAAGTGTTCAGAATATTGAAAAAAAAGGAAGACAATGAAAAACACAAGCTCTCATTACCTTACAAGGTATTCTAATTGCTAC